CACTTCACATTAAATAACATTTTACATTAGTTACAGGTCACTTTCAAAATACGCTTATTTGACAGTTATATGATTTAGTTTTTGTAATACTTATATAAATGAACTTTAAATCTGAGCAAAAATTCTAAACTTTAGTATGAAAATATTTACAGCGCATGTAACATTTTCCCAAAGATCTATAAACGTTTTTAAATATATTTACTTGATATATTTACATACAAAATACTCCAAATGTAAATCACCTATTTACAAAATATCATATGCAGAATATGGCAGTAAAATATTTAAGAATTGATTATTTTATGGTTTACCTGGAAGGTGTAAGGGGCTTCATCCATTTATTGAGTTTGTTTGTAAACAACGTTCTGCTTTATTAGTGCACAACTTTATCAAATCTATATTATTTTTATTTTATTGATGATCGTGCTTTACTTAATAATCTTCCTGTTTGTTGTTATTAATTAACCTACATGTTATAATTTGTGTTTTTCCTGACTTTACAGTGGCTTTACCTTTAAAATGCACAATATTTTTTACCTAAAATTTTATTACGAAAAGTTAAAAAAATTCATTAAGAACTTTAAAGCAATGGCTATGAATAATAGAAGTGTGATGTTCGTTTCGTATTGTCTTGTGGGAACATAATGGTTACGTGTGAGTTTTCTTATAGCAAAGACACTTGTTTGTTTGTTTTTAATTATACACAAAGCTACACAAGGGCTATCTGTGCTCTGCCCACCACGGGTATCGAAACCCGGTTTCTAGCGTTGTAAGTCCGCAGACATACCGCTGTGCCACTGGGGGGCCGGCAAAGACACTTCGGGATATCTGTTGTGTCTACCAAGGGGAATTGAACCCCTGATTTTAGTGTTATTAGTCCGAAGACTGTCCCACTGGGAGACCGTAATGGTTAAATGAAATGCATGATTGATCTGTTGATGTCATGATGCCATGTATAAATTATAAACTTTTCTTTTTTCAGTATTACAGGTTTAATTTCCCACTGTATCAGAACTCTACAATAATTCGATATTAACAAACAAATTATTCTTTTATTTCTAAACTCATTTTGCGATGCCATTTTGTGTCAGGTCCATAATAGATAACTCTATTTATTTTTGTAACTGATACGCGTGAACGCTATTCCTTGGTCATTCAATACATGCTTTCAATAGCATATTTTTCTACAGCGCGTTGAAAAATGAGTTTATATTTTACCATTATTGTATTTTGAAATGAGTACCTTTATAACTGTCTGCGAGGGATAATATGAAACTAGTAATTTGTACTGTTAATTGTCTGTTAAAATAAGATGAGAGTTTGTTCTTTTGTGTAAAGATTTTTTCATTAGATATTGGCTAACTCCTAAACAGTTTTTCAATGTTTCAAGTTAAGCAGTTCGCTGGATATCAATAACTCATTTCAAGATAGGGTGGGCCATTCTGTTTAGTATCGAGAACAGACTCTTCTTTAACGAGTTTAAATTTAGGAATATATAAATACTTGTTTTTAATTTCTTTGTTTTTGGTGGGGGGAGAGAATTTATTTTCTCAAAATATTGATCTCTTGAAAGGTTTTATGGTTATGTACTTTCTTCCAGGTGTAGCACAATGTCTTCAAATTGGATATTCCTTTCTCCAGGTAAACACATTTCTTGAACAAGGACATCAGATAAAACGTTTTTTGCTTTTGTTTTTTTTCAGATTGCTACCTTATTCTGCACACAACCTTCTGATATTTACATCTTTTGATCCAAAGAGGATAAAAGAGGAAATAACATGAATGAAAACATGACATTTCTTTCAACCTGAAAAAACAAAAGGGTAACAAACGTAATGAATTTAATGTGGGTACAAAAAATAATGAAAACGTTATATGTGTTCCTATGAAATTTTAAATCAGTACGTTGTTGTGTATTATGGTCAATAACAATTGTAATGATTTTGTTGGATGTTAAGAAATGTTTAACAAGTACATCTTTTTGGTAGTATTGTCAAAACTACTAATTTCGTGTGTAATATTTCACTAAGTTACGTTGAAAAAAAGAAACAAGCAAGAAAATGTTTCAAGTTCCATAAACGCCAGTTAAAGGGAATATGAGCTATTATTGAGAGTAGTTTATTGTAACACTTTATAGTCAAAGTAGTTTCGGATTTAAAAAAGTTGCATGTTTGTCACTTAAATGTAAACGTAATAAACATTGTCAAAATAAACATCACAGTATTAAAAGTCAGATTTGCATTTAGATCTTAGAACCAATTCTAATGGTCTGGTTTAAAGCTATAGTGATATATGTAATTTATTCCCAATAATCCTGAAAAGAAAGCCCTGTTTCAAATATTTCCCTTACTAAAATGTTAAATTTTTAATCGAATCATACCAATAAAGTTATTTACTTAATTTAACTTACTAAGCCGTGAAAACGTTTTCTCAGAAGTTTCAAGGTTTAATATGTGACAAGCAATAAATCTTATAAAGGAAAGGTGAGTTTTCTTTAAAATGGAATGTCTCTTTAACTGTAGAACTTGCTATATTCACGTTTTTCTAAAGTCAACCTTTAAATGTTAACTGTTTTATGATTAACACCACAACACAATACAATCAAGCATATTTACATTTATTACATTAGTCAGACATTACTAAAGAATTAGAAAACACGACTTCCAAAAATGAATAAGAGGATGACGGGTAATTTTGTTTCATTACAATACCGAATTTTAAGATCAATGGTCAGTCAAAACTGCACTTTTCATAAAGACATAGTGTCTTAATTCTAGTTGTTGTTTTTATACATTAGAAGGTTTAATACAGTATTTACAGTTTAGATATAAAATTTGCTGTGAAGTTTCTTCTTTGTACGTGAGATGAAATTGAAAAAGAAAAGAAACCAGTTATTATCGTATCTCTTGTGTGCATTAACGTGTTTTGCTAGAAAATGTCCTTGAGTGAATCAGAAGTTTTTAAGAATATAGACTGAGCATCCAAGTGTAGAAATAACACAAGGTAGTGTGAATATTAAAAACCTTTTTAACAAGACATGACATAGGTATTCATAAGCATTGGTCGAAAGCGAAGAAGCCTTTAAAATATTGTACTTATAATTAATGTCGACTTAGAAATTTCAATTTCAAGACTGTACAAGAAGACTTTCATCTTGAGCGTAATTCCTTCTCATAACCAACCAACATGTATCCAAACCAACTAAACACTCTGCTCTTCCCAGACAATTTGTCAAGAGGAAAGTATCAGCTCACTAAGCGACTTCACACTGGCTGCACGGGGTTGTCGGTTCCTTCTCGCTCCGGTACATAAACCATTAAATGGCGTTGGTACACCTCGTGGAGACGGGATTGCTCTGGGTTTCGTTGAAATCGTTTGACCGATTGACAATTCTCCATTTGAAACTCTGTAATGTTTAGTTGTAAACAGTTACCTTATGTTAATGTTATGGTATTTGTATACACAAATCAATACGTGTTACCATAATAACTCTGCAAAACATCTTGAAAACTTTTGATTATATCATATACAATCTAATGAAATTCCTTGACATAAAGCATATAGCAGTTGTCAAAACAGAAAACGAATTTTAATCTGAATGAATAAAATGTATATACGCATTCTTCGAAAAGATTAAAAAATTTGCATAAAATAACATAATTTGAACTCTTGTTTATTTCATCCAAATGGAATTTATGCCTATGTTAAATGCAACTAGTGTTATTTTTGTTCGTCTTAATAACGTTTTGGAATTATCGTTTCCCTACCAGCAGCAAAATACATAATGTTAGGAAAACAAGCTTCAAAATCAATTAAAGGCAAAAATACGAAACCCTATAATCCGAATGACCTCTCGAAAGGTGGACCTCTCTTCGCCAGTTTGAAAAAAGTTCACCTTTCGAAAGCGCTCGGGGTTATAGTGTTTCGTATTTTGGCCAGTAACGGAATACTTAAACCATAAAACTATCTGACAGCTATTGTGAGTCCAAGAAGAATTCAGTAAATCAGTAGTGCCAACCTCTATCGTTAGTATACTGTAGTGTACATGATAAAAAGGAAAAATACGTTGCAAATGTTATATTGCACTCTAATTATTTATTTTTTCTATTTGTAAAGAAATGTTCATAGTTGATACTGTTGTGTAAAACTGTTGCACGTAAGTGTGGTTTGTTAACTTTAGAGTTATCAGCCCAGTAAGCGTTCCTAAAATAATGGTCGGTCTGCTAGTTTTTATGTGACTGAAAACGTTACTTTGAAATACGACACCAAATCCATATTTCGATATTTTAATCCAAGAAACTAAGTTGTTCCAAATCATGGATAGTTCAAGGAATGACAACATAAAAGTTTTTAAAAAGCGTGTATCTATAAATAAAGTTAGCTATGTGTCAAAGTTTGTTTAATATCTAAACAATCGAAGTGTGTTTAGGAAATTCCGAAGTCTTAATTAAAGAATGGCTTTTAGTATCACGCATAACACTGACTCACAAAGCAATCATATTCCATATTTATAACTTAATAAATACTATCATAAGATATAAAAAATGCTGGAGACGTTCAGCAAGAAAACAAGCATTATAGCAAACATAGGGGCAGATTATTTAAATATTATTTTAATTAAATTAAAATTTATATTTACGTTTCTCATTCATACAGCCACTATATAAAACAAAACTGAGTGTAGTCTATCTGGAGCTTTTGTAAAGATCTGAATTTTTTCTTTATTTGATAGCATACATTATAAATGCTGCTCCCCCAATACTCAATGATAAAACGCTAGAATTTGGGGTTTAACCCCGTCACACACGTAGATAGTCGATTCTACAGCTTTGAGATAAAACAAACAAACAATAACTATTATCATCGTAAAATCTTGTTTAGGTGATTAGGGCAAATCATATAGGAAAAAAGCACTTGAGCACTAACTCATAGAATGATCAATTTGTCCAATGGTTTAACATTTTAGTGGCTTTTCTGAACCTTAATCTAAAACAATAGGACTAGAAAGGACAGACACTTTGTTTTCTTCCTGATCCATCGAAAGACCGCCGAGGACGAAGCACAGTGGGGTTTGAGTTATGCAGCTCAAGGAATTGTTGTTCGAATCTTCTGTGATGGCTATTTTGCTGCAATCTACCACGGAATTCAAGTCTAAATCTTTCCTAGGTTAGATAATAAACAGAGCTATATAACCTTTCAGTCATTAAGCATTCAAAAGAACAAACACAAGGCAAAGTCCTAAAAAATAATAAATTATCTAATTTATAAGTGTATATATATATATATATATATATATTTGCAGTACAGATAACACAGGAAAATTTCATGGCATTATTGAAAACAGAAAACTTATTATAAGGTTTAAAATTATAAATGCGATGTTTTAACCGTGCTTGTTGTGCGATATCTTAAAACAAAGTGTTATTTAGTTCAAATAATATATGTATAAGACACACGAAAATAAAATGCCACTAAGTGTGATCATGTTAAAGATCATATACCCCACCCTCTGTCATTTTGCTTGTTTATTAAATCATTTGTTTCTAAATGCAATTTTCATACTGCATCAAAATATACTCAATTCACTGAAATAACCGACACTTTTTTTTTTCAAATTAAAGTAACTTTTGTATGACACTTCATAAAAGTCTCAAATGTTAATTAAATTGTGATGAATTTGTGTTTAAAACATATGCCATTAGTGAAGATACGTTACTTTAGGTTTAAGCAACTTTTTCTTCGTAATGATTAGGACAGAATTTTAAAACAAATTCTATGAACTTAGCTGAGAGTGCAGTAAAAGACTGAATAATTGAATAAGGATATCATTAAACAAATCAAAATTGTAGAGTATTAACTTTATTAGGCAGAATATGTCATGTACTCTGCATAAACGAAACAACTCCCCAGTTTTGTGACATTAAAATGATAAGAAAAATTAATCATTTATGGAAAAGAAGTACATACAATATTTATAATACACCTCTAAATCAACATAAACGATTCTTGTTTGAAACGGCGAATAAAATTGTATTAAATCTTTTGTTTTTAACAATCGTTTCTGACGCCAATTTGTATCGAATGTTTCATGAAAATGTTACGAAGATATTATTTCATTTCGCATAAAAAAATTAGACTGCACTTGTGTTATTTCACAACAGTATAACTCGTATTCCCTAAACACTTCTGTAAACTGATTGGTGTAGCGATATGAACACACGTGTTTGTATTTTCTAGCGCACAATGATGTGCGATTTTATTTCAATTGTTGTATTATTTAAATACATTGTTGTGTTGTGAAGTCACATTTTTATGACGAGTTGATATTTGAATCGTTCAGGAATAGCACGTGGTGGAAATGAAAAACTATTCATCTAAAGTAATTTATAAAGTATTGTTTTTATGCATAATTTGACTTTTAACTTATGCTACAAAATGCCATAACTTATTAATATTGTTTTGTGTACTTCGATTGTGCAATATTCAATACAAAGACTGTGCATCAGTCAACATATATGCGTTCAGTTTTGTTAGTTCACAATGCTGGTGGTGTTTATAACATAAACTTGGGCCATTCAAATACCAGAGAACACAAGTTATTTTTTTACAGTGTATTACATACTCTAGCAACTAAACAGCAACGTATTTCAGAGTTTTTGTAAGGTTACATCCATATTGGTGTTTTAAAATCTATTATTTTATCCACTTATTCATCTGTCTGATTATTTATGTTTTAGTCTCTCTTATTATTTATTTTGTTTATACACTGTTGAACGTCCTTAAAAATTTTTTATAAAATATTAATAGTTACAATAGTTGTGTTGAGTTTTTAAGATTTAATAAAATGTTCTGGTTTTCTTCGATTAACACATTACAACGGATTACATTGTTGTAGTTTACTGTAGAATTGCAATTTGTTGTTGTTGTTTTTTCCATGTATACAACAAAATACATGATTTTCTCTTCTGTTAGAGAAATGTATGTGACAACGATCAACAAAAATTGGATCTCTAATTACAACTGTTTAGATAAATCGTTAAAGTCCCCATACAGCTCTATGTACAATTAAATATAGATAGGTACTGGTTTCTTATACGTAAAGTAAGTGCTTCGTATTGGTCTATTGATAAAAAAAGATTGATATGAAGAATAAGCAAATACAAGGATTATTTTTACCTGCATCGAAAATCATATCCATTTATCATATCACACAAAGGATATACATTTTGACTGTACATATCAGATGGCATTGCTCAGTTGGATCTATCCTTATGTAATCTAATTCAAAATATCATTTATAAGCTTGGACTAATAGTGTCTCAGTTTGAATGAAATTTATATCTTCGGTAAGAACAAATTTTGTAAAACATCAACCTATTTATAAGAATTCTATCACCAAAGAAAGAGAGGATTTAAGTTCGAAATGAGATAGTCATCTAGTACACTGAAATAGTCTTTGTAATGATTTTGCAAACCTAAACGTAATTAATAAAATGAAACTATTGATATTTATAGTGCAAAGGGAAGAAGTCATAATTATAATATATAGAATATACATACTGGTCGTCTACGTCTATTTGCTCTCCGTATCGGCCCCACCTACACATGGTACAAATCAAATTTAAAATAATTGTATAATCAATAACTTTTCTTACTAAAATGAAAATGTAGGTTAAGATTATTTATCATCATTCTTTAAATTAAGTATGAAACCAAAATCATATTCCAAACACTAATCTATTTAAAACAATATTAATGTGGTTAAGAGCATCACATATTCCTATTTTGACGAGTAAACATAAATATAATAAAAACATTTCTAATATAAAAGTTTCCAAGTTAAAAATACTTTTGAAAAACAGATGAAATAAATCAAATTATAAGTTTACGAGTTAGTGTCCAGTTACTTGAGTTGCCTCTTTTATTTACATTCCAGTTCAAAGAGAAATACTTGTTTTGAACTATAACAGTTGGCTGTGAATCCTGTCAACTTATTCGTGATGTTGATCCTTTCATTGCCTTTATCTTATTTAATTGAGATTCTACATAAGTGCCAGTTTTGTTTCATTACCAATTGTTTGGCAAGTTGATATCATTTTTGCACAATATAACTTTAGAAATAATATTTAGTTAGAATATTTCGATATATATTTAATTTCATTCGAAAAGCCATAAAATAGCTATAAAACTACTATTATGTGGTAATCGTTATAAAACAATACTAACAAAATTCTGGTTATTTTGCATAGAAAATGGAAATACATTTTAAAGTACTTTAGGATTTCTAAAATAAAACTTATAGCAAGAACATTAGCGAAATACAACTTTTTTATGTTTACCAAAAAAGTGATAGTGTATATCACCATGGTTACCTATATTTCAGCGTTTCAGAGATTTTATGTAAAGACATGCTAAAGGATAGGGATCAGAAGAAAATTGATATCTAGTTTAGTGGAAGAAAAATTTTGTCTTGCAGATGAAAGAAGAAAGTTTGATGAAAAGAAACGTTTTCTGTGGAAACAGAAAATACTCTTCTCTTTTTGTTGGAACACAAATATCGAGCTATGGAGGTTTGCGCTTTTTTTAAAAAAATACAAACTAAATTATATGTCCTCAATCTTCAAAATGGTATATATATATTAAATAAACCCACTCTACACATTAATTTTATTTATCTTTTGTACAACTTGAAATAAATCAAAGAGATAACACGTATAAAAATTAAACATTTTATAACCAGAATAGTATACAGTTTGTAATTTACTCGCGGTAGCGGTGTATTTCAAAGAAATTTGTGTTTGTGTGTTTAAAATTGGTTCACTGCAGAAGTACGTTAAAGCTTAAGAAAAATTGGAACCCCGTAGCTAATTTTAATAGGGTTTGTTATAAGTTACCTAAATCTTTACTGGCGGATGTTCTTTGACATATTATTTTGAACTGACAAAAAAGGGGAACCTTTTTAAGGTTATCAGTTACTATTAGTTCTTGATGCAACGTTTTCAAAGCGTAATTAAAGTTTAAATAAACGAATGTTTCACTGACTTAATAACGTAAATGACTCATTTTGTAGTTTCTTATTTTACAATTAATCATAGCATAGTACTGAACAATAACTTTTATTCTTAGATAACGTATGAAATTAACTTAAATAATACTCACGTTGTAAATAGCATAAATAAAAGGATTACAGCAAGAGTTACTCATGGCCAACCAGTGACAACAAAACCAAATTACATTGATGTACTTGTACCTGTGGGAGCAACAAAAAAACAACAACTTAAAAATGATTTTTTGTCTACAAGTACAAGTTGCAAGTATGTAGTTCTTGTAATTCAGCTATAAGTAGACGTTTTATCGAAGAGACATTAAAAATTATTTTTTTGACAAAAGACTAAATGAATTATAGAAACCGACAATTAAATTTAACCCTACCTTGCGACTTGCATTGTATGCTTACCAAGCGGATGCCTTAGTAAGAAAATGTTTAGGAGTGATAAAACGCTTCTCCTTAGTCCAAAATTGATCAATGATGACCCCGAGAAACAAACGCATAACTAACAGTAACACAAAAAGAACCCTCATGATTGTAACGGGTTGACTGTGGAAGTAAAAATATGCTTACATATAATTCTGGCAATGAAACAAGTTTGAGAACAGGCACAAAAATACTGGCAGTGCACATCTTTAAGGGTTGTGTTGCACTTGCTTCATGTGCACTATTGACTCTACCCCCTTGTTCCAAAAGTACTTCTCATTTTACTCTCGCTCAAACTATCGTAATGAAACAAGTTATACGTTATCACTTGATCATACTTTAATAATACGTATTAGTTTCAGGAGTCTTTAATTGAAATATTACTTGAGATATAAACAAATATCAAATGTGTTCTTAAAAGTTCAAAAATTATATTCATACTGATTTCAAAAATAAATACAAGTTATACGATCAATAAAAATATCGTATTCTCCAGTACACTAATATATAAGTTAAAACTTTTATATAGGAATTGTAAAATAGTAATAATAATAACTATTATCAAAGTTTCAGTAATAAATCAAATAAAACGCATTTGAAAGTTACTTAATGGTTTACTAGAACTAAATAACATGTTAATACTCTTTGTATAATCTTTAGCCCCCAGTGGCACAGCGGTATGTCTGCGGAGTTACAACGCTAGAAACCGGGTTTCAATACCCGTGGTGGCCAGAGCACAGGTAGCCCATTGTGTAGCTTTGTGCTTAACTTCAAACAAACAAACAAATATAATCTGTATCAAGGCTTAAACCTTGAGACTTTTAACGATAAAAAAGTCTACTGGAAGGTAACTAGCGTTTAATAAACTTTCCATAAGCTATCTTTTTTTTTTCCTTACAGTTTTAAACTATTTCCTGTCGGCAATAAACCTAGTGCATATACTTTTACTGAAATAACTATAAACATAATGTTTGCGTGACACTGCTAAAGACATGCGATATTTGACATATACAGTACGCTGGAATATGCGGATAACCTATTTAGTATCATGCTGATAACGAGGAAGACCTTTATTATATCTTTATGGAAATAAATAAAACACATTCTGAAAAATTATAATGGCATGAGAGATGTTCATTAGTATAACTTTGCCTTCGGAAATAAAGTTTATTACAGGGAACAAATGTGCGAACAGAAGGTTTACGAATTTTTGCTTCAGGTTGCGAATTAAGCACATTAAGTGATTAGAGAGAAATATTTAGTAGTAAATACTGATATGATAAACATTCTTAGCTTACGTATGATATAGTTAAGTTTTTAGTAATACACAAACTTTTAAGAGCTTAGACGATCTTACAACCAAATGCTTTAGGCATTATAATGTCTCGTATAAGTTACAATCATGAATTATTTCTTTAAGTATCAGAGACTAATAATACTATATTCGTTAACAAAAGTTGTATTAATATTATAGTTTACTATTTTACTAGCATTTGGTATTGGTGAAGCATTGTTTAAAATACATTTGGTATTGGTGAAGCATTATTTAAAAGAATTGAAATATATAATAATAAAAGAGCCTGTCTGTGTATGTGACCGCTATAGCTCCAAGAGGAAAGAACCTATAGACCTGAAACTTTGCACGCATACTAAGGGGATTCAGAGGGTGTGCACCTGGGTATCATTTTTTAGGTTTGACTAAAAAAATTGGTCAATTTTTTATCCTACAGTTTTGCCTTATAGCCCTTAAGACTCATAATTCTACTTCCTAAAGGTCTACAGAAAAGTATAATTTGTTTTCTATTTCTCACTTACTGAATGAACAATATGTGGAAGTTTCCTGCCAAATACTATTTTTCAAAACCAAACACAAATATGGTAAGAAAAATACAAATCTGAGAGTTAAAAAAGGTTTAATTAAAATAAGTTTGGGAAACGGCAACAAATAACGGGATGAAAAATATGAATCAGAGAATATTGAAGAATTCGGAGAATGAAGAGAATTCAAATGAAAAGACGGGAAGAAAAAAAAAGAAGCTGAGAAGCTAAATTAAACACCTTTCAAAAAGTGTTGAATTGAATTAAGTCCGGGAAATGGTAACATACGATCTATTAAAGAACTGGCGCATTTGGGTAGTTATAGAAATAATTAAGATAATGGAAAAGCTTGACTGGTACATTGAGGCCTCTGTGAATCATGAGGGGACCTTAGTATCTCACGGCAGAGCGTAGGTATTTCATGCTAAATTCAAAATAAAGTTCAGAACGACACATATAATTGCGAATTATAGTTTTTGTAATAACATTAATTTCAATAAACATGAATGGAGCATATTTAATACAGTAACAATGATGTGTAATGAAGAGAATTTCGAATGATTTGCAGAATGAGTAAATATTTCGATTATATTTTAAAAGAAGTGGATATGGCCTAATGGTTAGAATGTAGACCTGCGGATCGCAAGGTCTAGCGTTCGAAACGTGGTTATAAAAGCGACAACCAATCCAGTTATTCGATTCAAAGCCGGACACAAGTCCATGTGACGGTGGATGCTCCTCAAGTAAACAGTTCAAAATTAGTAGCAGGTATAGACGAGTCTAGTAAAACAAGTTGCGTATGTGTAAAGTTGAATGACATAATAATTTCCCGTCTATGGTATACCTGTTTCTAGTTAGGGTTAAAGTATAAATTTGTTGCTGGTTTTTGCTTCGTGTTAATGTGTGAAATGGCTCAACCAAATAAAAGATAAAAAAAAGACGTACAAGTGCAAGACACATATTTCTTTACGTATGGCTGGATTGATGATTTGGCCAAAGGAGCAATGACGAAGGTGTCTATAATTACCTCGTAGAATCTGCAGTACAGCTTACACACGACAGTGTGAAGACGTATAAATCACTTTTAGCAGACTTTTTGTGGTCATGTTGGCCCAATTTCATAGAGGGCATAGATGCATGTTTTGTAAAAAACATATGTAAAAAAAAAACAGTCAAACAATTAACAAGAATCATCACACATGGGTTTTACAAAATATGAAACATTGAATTGTTTACTGAAGACTCTGCACTTGCAAAGTAGGTTGAGTTTTCTCACAATGTACATGGTTAAAAGTTTTCATAATTTGGTTAAAACTATGTCAATTGTATTTTATGATCTCAATCATATTTGTGAAACCTGTTTCAGGTTTGGAGAAACATGTAGTCATTTAGTTGTTTTGTTGTTCAAAATGGACGCTTGTATTCGACTTGGTGTTAAGAAATCATGCGCTGATGTCACATGTGTGTGGAATAATGCACGAAAAAAGGAAGTAATATGTTAATGAAAATATAGCTTTGAGTGTATTTATGTATTTTTAATGCATTAAATATTTGACTTCTTTTAATAATATTGAATATTTTGTCTAAAATGCTTTGTAGAATATAATAATCTGCTAAAACTTATTAGAATAGCGTTTTATTGTTGAGAAACGTGTTTTATTAGATTTTATATTAAATGAACTATTAATAAATGTGTAAAAAAAAAAGAAATGTCCGGAGTTAGCTGTAGATTTAGGCCTAATTTTTCCCCTTGTCCCTGTGAAATGTATTTACAGAACAGTAACTTTCAGAGCGTATTTATTTCAGGTTAAGCAATCGGTAATTCAGAAGATTTACTTCACCCGCCAAGTAAAGGCATTCTTTGGTTCACGACCAAAAAAAGAAAAAAGCAAGGTCACTAATATACCTCTTTATTGCCTTGGTGTTGATTTACATAAGAAGGCCCTTATTGAACCACAGAAAAAAATATGCTGTGATTCTGAAATTGATACACGAGCGCTACCTGCGCTAGCCGTCCCTAATTTAGCAGTGTAAGACTAGAGGGAAGGCAGCTAGTCATTACTGAACCATGGCCAGGTGGTAATGGAGCTTGACTCGCAATCTGAGGGTCGCGGGTTTGAATCCCCGTCCCACCAAATATATTCGCCTTTACAGGCGTGGGGGCATTATAATGGGACGGTCAATCCCACTATTCGTTGGTAAAAGATTAGCCCAAGAGGTGGCGGTGGGTGGTGATTACTAAATGCCTTCCCTTTAGTCTTTCACTGCTAAAATGGGAATGGCTAACGCAGATAGCCCTCGTGTAGCTATGCGCGAGGTTCAAACAAAGAAACAAAACAATAAACTGTAGATCCCATGACCTTTACATACAATTCAATTATATTTATCTTTAATCATATAATAACTTATTTTACACGATTGTTTTTAAAAAGTTTTTAACAATGTCCACATTTTTGATATCTATAGTTAAATTAGTTTTCCGAGTTAGATCAAATGTAGTATCTCCTTTTTTGTTACTCATAAGTAATTTGAAATGGAAATTTTCTGGAATAAATATTTATGTATTTCATGTATCTAATGTACAAGTTTAAACGTGTAGACCGATGTTAAGCTTGCAACCATATCATACTATTCTAGAGCTCCAATTACTGAAGAGATTATATTAATAAGGTCCTATATGCACGATAAGGAAACATAGAAAAAATAAAATAAAACTGATTTGAAACTTGACTTTGTTCCTCATTTTCCAATAAAGATTTACTACACTATGAACAAATTTTATCATAAATTAAAACTTTATCAACAATTTGTTCCTTTACTTGTAACATAAAGTCATATACTTCTATCCAAAATTATTATTATTAACAGGCTATTAACTTGAAGATATTGAAGAGTAAGAATCTAGTCCTTCCCTTTAGCTACAAGTTTTCGTTCTCAAAGCAGCGGAAATAACGAGG